GGAGGTTTGAGTCTGAGGGGTTACAGTTGGAGGACGCGGAGACGGAGGCTTTGCTGGGCTACGGATGAGATTTTGATCGTGTGGGCTTACCTTCTTTTGAGATGTGCAATGACTTATGAAATTATGAGAGGAAAATAGGAAGATAATTAGTTAAGAAAGATTTGTTTTCATTTGGAGGAAATTTCAGGTGTGTTTGGGATTATTGTGAAGTATTGTGATTATTGTTGTGTTAAATTGTGTTATATTGTAATTGTGTTATATTGTAATTGTGTTATATTGTAATTGTGGTTAAAATATATTTTTGGTATTTAGTTATTTATTTTTTAAAAGTATTATGGATGAAATATGATAGATTTTATTAATTATTAATTAAAATTTTAAAAATATTATAAGATGTATAATTATTAAAATAGATAATATTTACTATTTTTAATAATTTAAGTTTTTTAAATTTTCTATCATTAGTATAATATTATAAATTATGATATAATTAAATTATATAAAATTAGGTTTTAATGGGTAATTTTGTATTTATATTAAATATTAAGTGTTTTTCATAAAAATCACAGTCAAAAAATTAAAAAATAAAGTTCATGACTTTATATATAAAATTATTGTAAATCTGTAGTGATTTTCTATAGTTTTTTAAAAAAGTAATTTGAAAAAAAAAAAACCAAACACACATGTATCAAAAAAATATTATACAACTATACAAAAAAACTCAATCGCAATACTAGACGCACCCCTTCATTTAGTTTGAGATTTTGTGTGTAGGTTGTTTGTTTGGGCTTAAAGTAATTTAGGGTTTGATTTTACTCAAATTACTCAAATTGCTCATTTGGTTGTTTTACAACTTTAGAATAATAACCTTTTTATGGGTTTCTATAAAGATTTACAAGCAATCATTTATGATTCATATATCCAGTTGTAACAACTTGATATTTATAAGATTTTTTCTTAAAAAAAAAAATGTTAGTGTGTATTAGTTTCAATTAAAAAAAATTAGAGTTACGTTCCAACAACATTTGGAAACAAACATCTCAATTTAAAATTCAGAAATCCACCCCTATTAAATGTTGATAGTTATATTTAAAAACGAATTATATATTTTAATATAATTAATTTTTAAATTTAAATATCAATATTTAATAAGATGAATTTTAAAATTTTGAATTGAGTTTTAATTAAATAAAATGAAATAATTTAAGATTAGGACTCCAATTTATTTAGAAATCGAGATTGATATGCACTTTCCCTAAAAAATAACTATTTTAGTCTATGAAATGAATAAAATCAATAAAAGAAAGAAATTATAATTAAAATGATATCAATAATTTAGATAACTAATAAAGAACAAATATATTAGGTATTTTAATAAATTTAATGAATGGAATTAATTTGAAATGATCAATCCTGAAAATCTAATAAATTTTGAAGATAAAGTCTTTAAATTAATAACTACTTTAATTAAGCAATATAAAAATGATTTCAATCAACTTTAAAAATAAAATCAATTAAGGTAAAAATAGTTTTAAAGGATAATTTATATTAATTTTGATTCCCCCATAAAAATTAAAGTTTTAACCTTAGATGACTTTATTTTATTTAATTAAAACTAATTAAAAATTCAAAAATCTAGGTATACCAACATTTAATAAATTAAAATTTTGAATTTTGAATTAAGTTTTAATTAAGTAAAAGAATATTGGCACTCTAATTTTTTTAGATAAAATTAATATAGACTATTCTCATGGTTTTATAACTAAATTTATTTAATAATATTTATTAAGTCAAGTGGTTAGACCAACTAATTTGAATGGTTCACCCAATTGAGTAAGACCTAGTGATCAAACTGAGTGAGCGGGTCAGGTTTCAAAACATTGATATTTATCTTTTATTATTCAAAGAAAAGTAAATCTATGGAGTATGGATTGGGCGAAGGAGATGGTGGTAGAGGAAGCTTTAATTGGACGGACGCAAATCAATTGGCACCGCAAATAGCGTTACGGTCTTAATTAGGCAGCGCTCGTGGTCACATGTAGGGTAGCTATTCATTCTTTTTTTTTTTTTTTCCTTTTTTTTTTTTTTTGTTTTTGTGACAGCCAAAAAAATTAATTATCTAATGAGCAATAGTTTAGTTGGTAAGGAATTTGATTGGAATAAAGCTAATTTGGTTTTTTCAAGGAGTTTAATGTGAAGTTATTTGTATAAATTTCTTAGTAGTGGCATGATGAATTGCTTTTTGACTAAATTAAAAAGTTATCAAGCTGTGTAAATTGACCCAGACATCCTAACGATTAAAAAAAAAAATTCATTATAATCGAGCACTAGGTCTTCTCATCTCAAATTAGTACTAATAAAACAGTTTGGTAAAATCGCCAATGGCTTAAATAGTTCAATGATTATTTTTTTTTTGTTAAAAATAAAAAGTTTTAAATTTGAATCACATGACATACGAGCGGGATGAGATAAGAAATGAAATATGATTGTTTTTCATTGTGTAAAAAAAAAAAAAAAAAGCTGTTTGGTAAAATCGCTTCTCTTACCCGCTCAAGAAAAGGACTTAGGAAGTCCACCACCCCTCTCTAACATCTTGACCCCAGCCTCTTACTCATCCCACTTCCCTTAATACTCTCTCCTTAAAGTTTTCATCTTAATTGCTCAGACTTACGTAGTTTACTCCATGTAGACTGAAAATTAGACCTTTTTTTCTTTTGCAACAGTAGCCCGGAGTGTTGTTAGGGCCAGACCTTTATTCTCGATCCTATCATGGAAAATAGAAAAAGGATCTAAAGTCCTACATTGATTTAGTGACTAAAAGAAACAAGAGAGAAAAGATTGCTTACAACTCCTCTATTGAATTCCCCAAGGAGTAACTTGACTTTGGCTGTTTTCATTTTTCATGGGTCAGTGCAAAACAATTCCTGGCATTTCTTTATTCCCATGCCAGCCAATGGAGCCTTTTAAGTTGGATTACCACATGGTATTTCTCAGTAAAATGTGCCTCTTGTTTTTTCAGATTTAACAAATCTTTTTACCAAACATCCGTTTCCTTTGGATTGGTTATTTTGGTCGGTGTTGAAGAGCAAGTTGCTCTATTTCTTATGTTTTGGGAGACTTAATTATTTCTTTGATTAATTAATAATTATAGCTTTGTCCATCACATGGATCAGAATCCACGTACTCCTCATGCAAGTTTGTTCCTCGATTTCTATGCGTTTAATAGGACACAACTGTCTATGGGTTTTGCCATCTCCTTAAACAAATTAGCGGTAATTTTTCTTTCGAATGTGTAAACAATTTTAGATTTGAATCATATGTATGAATGGTATTGTGAATAAAGAAATAAAAAGTACTAATGATTTGTTGGTTTGAATGAAAGGAGTTTGATTCTCCTTAAATAAGATTTCGAGTTCCTTAAATAAGATTTCGAATTTGAATCTTATAAATGAAAAAACAACCGTTGAAAGAGTTTCTTCCTAATAGAATCCGACGTAACTTGATTTTGGATTAGTAGGGATCTAATGTGGTTATCAGATACTAAGAGGATAATATAAAAAAAAATAAAGAAATAAAAATGAAAAAAACTGTTTATTGGTTTTGCTTGGGTGGAGAAGTGGTTAAGGCCATATATAAAATTGTTGGAGGCACATAAAATCTTTTTATCTACATTTAGTTATAGTTTTTAAAAATTTTAATATATAAATTAATTTTAATATATTAAATAATAAATTTTAATTATTTTATTATTTACTAATTATATTTAATAGTTAATAAAATAATATTTTAAAAAAATTTGTGTAACTCAACAATTTGTTTGATGATAATAACCATTCCCCTCTTCGTCACACCCTCTATTTCAAGTTATACAGTTCTTAATTATTTGACATTTATACCCTTATCAAAATTTTGCAATTTGCAACTTTCATCATCATCGACGTTCACTGGAAAGCGGAAGCTTTTGCTGGAGATGGTGCAACCCTGTTCACATCTGAACACGATAAAATCACCAAAATTTCAATCTCAAACTCAAGGAAAAAAAAAAAACTCACACCCACCAGCAAATCCAAAAACGTTTATTAAATTGCGATTTGGTGAATATATCGGACATCCGGGTCAACTGAACTTGATTGTTGGGATTTCAAGGTACTACACTTTTTCTTTTTCAGAATTGCCTTTCCTAAAATAAAAAATACTACACTTTTCTGCTTCATTTTATTTATTTATTAAATTAAAGAGAGTAAAATTGCGAAAATTAGGATTTAATTACTTATAGTTCGAGACAAGTGCACATAAAAACTTGAAAATTTTAAAATATGAATATAACATACTTGTAATTTTAGATATGTGTAAATAAAAATCTGAGATTTCAAAATATACATATAAACTCTTAAAGTTTGCACAAGACGTAAATAACCACTTAAAATTTCTTGAAATCGAATAGAGAAGAACAATGAGGGTATTTAGGATTTCATATAACCTCCATGATTATGTGCACATTTTGAAATTTCAAATCTATATACATTTACTTCAAACTATAAGTATGTTATACACATATTTTAAAATATTAAGTTTTTATTTGATAAGCCTAAACCACTATTAATTAAAATGTAATTTTCTCATAAAAATTCAATTTTGGCCAAAGATCTAGGGGATTTGCGAATGGAAATTGAAAAGAGGACAAGGGTTCGTACTGTGAAATGAAGACAGGAGGAAAAACAATAGGGAAGAAGGGAAAGCAAATGAGGAAAAGGGAAGTCAAAGAAAGAAAACGAAGGGAATTAGAAAAATTAACTAGCTAAAAGAAGAAGTGCTTAGGAAAAAAGATGCAAACTGGATTCTACTGGGAGAAAAAATGAAGGGGTCCAAATTACTGATGTGAGTGAGAAGC